TGGGCCTCTTGTGTAGCCTTAGAAGTTGTTGTACTTTAGGGTTTTCATATACCTTTTTAAGGGGACTCATTTATTTATTCAACAGGTGTTTTTGGATACCTGCACCCGTGAAGAAGACAGGGTTTTCCCTGCCGCGGCATTGTGTTCTAAGGGTGGCAGGTGGTGCTGAACAGTTGTAACGGCCTGAGTGTTGTCACCAAAGTAAAGCAGAGTTATGTGACTCCGTAGGGGGCTGTGGCCCTTTTAGACATGAGCAGGGGAGGTCTGGAGGAGGTGACATTGACTTGAGCCCTGAATGACAAGAGGGAGGAGCCCTGAAAGTACCTGGGGTACCCCAGTCCTTCCTGCTTGAGGAGAGCCATCTCCAGGGAGCCATGGAGCACAGTGAGGGGGATCCCTCCACAGGCCTGGGGTTGGAGGCCTCACTGGGAGTGGCCTTTATTCTCTGATGGGAAACCTTGGGAGGGCTTTCAGCTGGGTGGTGGAGTGATTTACATTTCTATTAAACAGTCCATTTGGTTGGTTTATGGAGACAGACCCCAGGTGGGAGATGAAAGCAGGGGTACTTGTCAGTTGTCAGGAGGCTGCCAAGTGGTTGAGGGGAGACAGGACGTTGGCTGTGGAGGACCATCATCAGAATTCTCTATTACCCAGTCTCTCCATGTATGGGCATCTGCACCAAGGTTGTACTGCTTTCTTCGCTGTGAGAGTCGCTGTGCCTGAGGAGGGGGATGTGGTCAGGGAGCGGCAGACTCTCCTTAGGGGAGCTGATAATCTAGGGGAGCAGGTGGTCTGGAAAGCACAGATTAGGGGTGAGAGAAGGGAACGACCACGTGCTGAGGGAGTGAGTGCTCCAGGCCCTGGTGTGTCGGGGTGAACTGGTTCTGTCCCGGCAGCTGGCCAGGGTCTGGCCCTCCTAGTTCTGAGACCAAGAAACAGAAGCGGGGGTTGTGTGCGTCTGTGTGTGGTGTGTGTGTGTGAAAGTTTCTATGCATAAGTAATAGTTAAATGTGTTACTTGGCTGAATCTATCAAGTTAGAGGAAGCTGGTGCTGTTTCCTTGTTTATTTTGACGTATTGTCTCCCCCCTCCCTGTTTTCCAGCATCGTCATCCTTTATTTACGGTTTGGAGCACAAGTATTACAAGACAATTTTGTAGCTGAACTGTCGACTCATTACCAGAATTATATCCTTTTCATCAAGAGCCTCCCGCTCTGGCAATGCCCTCCTCGTAAGGTGGGGGAGACAAGGCAGGTCAGCGCCAATGGCCTGTACTCTGGAGACCCTCTTACTCACGGTGATGATGATGAGCGTGAAGGTGGGTGGGTACCAGCTGTGCCATGGCCAGGAGTGCAAACTTGCTGAGAGGTTGGCAGACCCGCCTCGTTCCACCCAGGACAGCCCGGGAGGCCTGTCTTCCTCTTCTGCAGGTGGAGAGCTCAGACTCGGCAGGGTTAAGGAACCGCCCAAGGTCAGGTACTCTGGGGCAGAGCCAGATTCCAGCCTGGAGGTCCAGGGACCACATTGTCTTCCTCGCAGCGGGGCGGGAAGTGTGCGTCCAGTCACGGGGTCAGCTCAGCGCCGCCATCTTCCCGCCTGCCCACTGAGGAGGGAGGAGCCAGGGTCTGACTGGGTGTCCGCCCGCACTCACCCCATGGCATCTCGTCTGCTGTCATCCATTACGTGCAGAGGGCGTTTCTGTGGGGGGTGACAACTGCACAGTGGAAGCCTATGTGTCTAGGGAAGCTGCACCAACCATCCCTCCATCCCTTCTGCTGCCTGAGGCAATGGCGCTGGGCTGCCGCTCCCTGGGGTTCCCGTCCTTTTTCAGATGTCAGAGGGGCTAGATCTGTGCTCCTCATTCCCCTTCAGTGGTGGGACCCACCAGGGGACACGTTGGGGGTTACACTTTCAAAGCTTTTGGTTAGCAGCCATAACTCTTCACCACTGTGCCACCAGGACTCCGGTTCTAACCTTGGGTCCCCTTAATTCCTTAGACTTAATGCACAAGTCTTCAATTTTTTGTGACTACAAATTTCACACTAAGTTTTTCTCAGCTTCCCAAAGGGACCTGTTTTCCAGAAAAGGTTAAAAACAACTGCTTTGAGAATTATCTCAAACACCCTGTAGAGCTTGATCCTATCAGAGCCAGGCCACTGGGTGCTGGGGGTTGGGTGAGGAGAGGCACCTCCGATGTTATCTCGGGGAGTCTGTGTTGCCAAGGAAAGGAGCCTGTTTCTGCCGATAGGTGAGATCATGGTTCACCTGTCATTTACTTTGGCCTGTAAGATTATTGCAGACCTCTCTGACTGTGGGCTTAAAGTATGCATTCTAGCGTCCGGCTTGTGGAAACCCCACGTGCTGGTTGGTGTTTGCACCAGAAGGATTACCTGATGGTTAGGAGGAGCCAAGACGCTGATGTGTGCCGAGGTGTGCTGTTGCAGGCCACAGATGTCCCTTGACTAATGCCACCAGCTGAATTCTTATCTTTCTATGGCTTGTTGAACTTCTATCTCTACACTTTGGCCTTTGTGTATTCTCCACCCAAGAATGCTCTGTATGGTAAGTCACCTGGCGTCGGAGTGCTGGCTAGACAGCTCCACAGGTCCCCTTCAGCTCAGCGCCCACTCGCGGGTTTCCAGTGCTGCTGGCGCCGTGATCCTCGGGGGCAGAGACAGGTAACAAACAGCCAGCACTCGGTTTCCGCTAGAACACGGTGGGGGTGGTGCCCGTGTTGTCATTGGCACCAGATGACAGGCGTGTATTCTGTTATGAGTGGGTCCCAGCACGTGTCCATCATGTGTCACATGTCACATTGAATACTATGCCATGACCATTCAAAATAAAGCTGACCCCTTGCGCACAGGGAATTCCAGGCAGAGAACTTCCGGGAGCAGAGGCAGGGATGTTTTATGTCATTGCCCCCCCCCACCTGGGTGCCGTGAGTCAGAATTGACTCGATGGCAACAGACAACCACCCCCCGCACCTGCATTTTGCCTTGTGTTGGGGGTGGCCTTGGGGGTGGTTTCCAGAGCCCTCCACATACACTGTCTTCTTTGAGCAGCTTTATGGTAAAGGTGTGATCAAGCCAGTTTACAGATCATGAAACCCAGAGTGCCTTTGGGAGGTCCGAGGCCTGGCAGCGGGTGGAGCCGTTGGGTCGGGGCGGCCAGGCCTCACTCCCGCTCTCTGCTCCGCATGTGGACACGAGCCAGTTCCTGGTGTCCCCTCCCTGCCTCAGGCGGGGAGGCCGATTGTGGTGCCTGTTGTGTACCCTCACACTCACATTGCGTTCACAGTGCGCTCACAGTTGTCTCGTTTAATCTGCACGCCAACCCTGTGA